GTCAATGTACTAAACTCTACATAACTAAGCTATTTCCTGCCAATAAATTTTTGCATGGCTTTTTTCACAAAACCGATTAGACCCCAAGGACCACCCATCTATGGGCTGGCAGGTGGATTGTACAAACATTTAATGCTTTTACGTACGCTGACATTACGCATTTGCTAGATGGATCATCCACATGAAACAAATCCTCAATTATGCGTGATCCAAGTTTGAAGTTATCGCCGCAATCAGTACGGATAAGCTCTGGCACACCTCTTCTTGATGAAAAACGTAAGAAACTGTTCAAAAAGGGACCAGTCGAAAGACTGTCAACAACCTCTAGATGAACTGCCCTTATGGCCAGACAGGTGTACAGGCAAATGTACATATTTTCTCCATTCTCAAAAAGAAACGGAACGATAAAGTCATATCCGCAATTAGGGATTGGTTTGGATATCTGCACCCTATTTCGAGGTAATTACAGACCGTACAATTCCTCAAGTAAGTGCGGAATGCATCAGACGTTTTCGGAACCAAAATCGCTGTCTTGCTTGTTGTGTGATCTTACTACAACGGAAGTTTTTATTGTGGATAGCCACGAGGAAAAGTCTAGTCAATTCGCTCTTGTTCGGAAAGAAAATTGGGAATTCATATCTACAAGGATCTTTGCAAGCTGCAAACGTGGACGAGTAATGCCACTCTTGCCCTTAATTAAGCACTTTTCGCGATACTTCTTTTGGAGTTCATTAAGATAGAAGTTTTCATGTGATTAAGAGATCAAAAAAGTAGCTGCAAAAATATCTTGCTCGCTAATAATAATTGCCCAATTCGAACTGAGACAAAACGCATGATTTTATGCGCCAATCTTTTTTCTTTACAACTTCTGCGGCCAATTTACGCAGATATTTCGCAACCCTAGCATTCTGAGAACGATATCATACTTGGAGAAACGTGTCAGGTCAACGAGGGGCTCAGCGTGTGATATCGATCTGTCAATGGTGACATTTTCTTTGCACGGTATTAAAAATTCTTCTTCTAAAATTTCGATCTCGATTTCATCCATGACTATTAGTTTTTGCATGGAATTCTCACCATTAAGCCATTGTGGTGCACGAATCTAGTCATGGTTCATTATCTCCAATGCGCTGAGACCTCTCGTGTCAGCATCAGCTGGGTTAAGCTGTGTTGCAACGTGCATGAATCGCACGGTAATATCACTTTCCTCAAACTGACTCTTAAATTTAAGTACCTTATCGCGCTGATATGCAATGAAAATTGGTACTCTGCGCGGTGTTTCAATCCAACATGATGCTATTTCACTATCACTGACAACAGTAACTTCATTGATAGTGTTGATCGTTTGTACGATGTTGGTAGCTAACCCCAGAGCTAATAATATAGCAAGAAGCTCCAGACGTGGTATTGTTCGGTGTGAACTTTTGGGAGAATTTGTTTTACCGCTCACAAGCTGACTCAATGCTTTCCATATCTTAGACATAAGCGCAAGTTGTCATTGATGTTTGCTGACATCTGCAAATAATCATAAGCTTGAGCTGGCGATTATGGTATTAGTAAGAGTGATGTATCGTGGTATCTCTATATGGCGCCATCTATTTTCGCACACTGCATACTCCATCCTTTGTCAGACAGCTCGCTCGGTCGGACCAGCCGAGTGCATATGAATGCTTCGCGCACCAATGATTTCATTCCTACCGCTAATAGACCGGCTATAGCGATTGGGCCACATAAGGAATTGATAACGCTTACAATCTCGCGTTTCGCGAGGTTTCCCTTTTTTAAAGAGGCTGACTGCGAAACAGTCGGTGTTATAACTAAGTCCAAGGATTTTGATTTAACCGGCTAATTGTCGACCATGAATTGGTATTTTTTGGTTGACCACTTCCGAAACTACTCCCTCAAATTTAAACCAAACTTGAAAAAATACTTTTAGAAAGACTGTATTTTTTTAAAGCTTCCTTTTCGGTTTCAGCGAGTAAAAGGATGTTGTCAACATAGATGTAGCTTGCGATTTCTTAGCCAATGGTGTCCCAAAAGATTCCAAATAGGCTGAAATGGCCATGCTGATAATACTAAACGATGCCGTTACTCCGAAAGGTATTATTGAATCGAAATTCTAAGAATGACTTGAAAGGAGGCTGAGTAGGATTTTCAAGCCAGAACCTACAAAAATATTGGTTGTGTTAAGGCGAATTTGCGTGAACGCTGCCTCGCAAAGTAATATGTTTGCTTGTTCTAGATGCAAGAAGTATGCCATAAATTTTATTGACGAAAGATTCTCCTTTGCAAATGACTGTTTTAGAAAAGTTTCCCATTCTTCTTAGAAGAGGCGTCGCAAACAATTCTGAGTGGCTTCTTCTTCTCTTCCCATACACCAACATATAATGGCATATAACATCTGCCAACAGCATTTTCTTTTGTCTCGTAAACCTTTTCGATTACATTACATTATGGCCCTCGTACTCCATGAGTATTTTACGATTCCACTCCATCTGGCAACTATTAACACATAA